TAGATATGGTGCTTAAGGACATCATTTAGTGGTGGACTTGGCAGCATTAAGCTAACAGCTGGACTCGATCTTAAAGGTCTTTTCCAACCTAAACGATTCTATGATTCTAAGTTTAGGACATAAGTGGTACCTTCAAATTATACATTGTCAATCAATTATTTCAGTCCCAGGACATTTCCTCAAGTGCTTAATAGAGTAATAAGTCCATAGGCTGCAAGTTTGGGGCAAGGAGAAAGACACCATAGACATTCACACTACCAGAAGTCCTCCTTTTTGTCCTGACTCTGAAGTACTCTCAGTTGAAGTGATACTCCTTACTACATGCAGGAGAGTTTTCAAACTCTATATAGCTCACAGTAACATCATGATTTATGTTTAAGCAGCTTAGCAGAAGCAGAGGCATTGTTAAATCAATCTATATTTTACTTTCTCGCAGGAAGTCTGATGTATTCTGGTGAACAGCCCCATATCCAGACTTGAATTTCAGTAGCAACTACACACATGGTTCAGCTTCACATTTGCTTTGAATGTTCTCACAGTCTCTACCTTTATGCAAGATATTTGGATTCTCATGATAAGGATTTCGACACCATTCTTACATTTTTTGAGCAATTTTTAAGTTCAATGTTTTACAGGCACCCTGCATATTTTCTCTGATTAAAAAAAGGCAGATATGTTTATAATAAGCAAAATTAAGACTCAACATTAATCAGCTGTTATAATGGAGGGCCCCACACATCCTTCTGTGCAGTAAACACAAAGATCAGGAAACTTAGTGGATCTGTGTGGCTTACCTCTAAAATCAGCCCCCCAGAAACCAAAATTCTTCTGTCTGACCCCCTAAATATATCTTCATTTTCCTAGGGGTGAATCTGGAAGAAGGCTGTAACATTGGTTTTGTTGAATGTGCTTAAATTGACTGTTTATTTCAAATAAATAATTACCTTTATAGCTATATAAATTTGATTGAAGTGCTATCACTCATGCAATCTCTCTGAATAGGAGGAGGATGTTAAAGTTAGAGAAATTATCTGGAATTTGGACTAACAACGACATATCACTAAAGCTGGTCAAGAACACTAGAATTTCTGATTCATTTAATTATCTGGAATTGGCAAGTGTCTTATTTTAGAAGCAGAATTTGTTTTAAAACTTAGACTATTAACACAAAGTGATATATCTTACCACACTCAAAACAAGGCTTTTACTTGTTTTGAGAAGTATAGTCAATAATACACACTTACAGGAAAAAAGTGATTCTCAGTTTCATATCTTGGCTTTATCTGCTAGAAAGCTGAGTTTGCAGAAGGTTGAAAGAGAACAGATGTACACTAATGTAAGATGTATTATCAATTTGAACTACAATCTTCAACCTAAGAGCCTGAAAACTGTTAGTTTGAGTATTTCAAATTTTTTAGACGATTTTCAAAACCGATTAATCTTTCCCTTGCTTAATCTCGCAAGCAGTGCTTTATTTCCCTATCCCTATCCAGAACTTTCCATGTTGTCATAATGGGTCAAATATCTACTTACTTACATGGAGACAAGTTACCTTCTAGGCTCAATCAGTTTTCTTAAACACCTGAACCATAACTCTGCTATGCACACGAGTGGTTACCAGTATTTTAGAATAAATGACTTAATAGTTTCTAGAAGGGGATAATGTTTTTCAAAATGCTGTTGTAGGCCACTGTCTAATTCAGGAACTTGTGTTGACAAAGTCAAATAACAAAACAGCTGTGAGCTCAAGAAAAGACAAATTCTGAGTGGCAGAAGACATCTCAGAATCTGAAGAGTTATGTCTACACTGATTATTCAGAAGCAAGACATGAGCATTGAAAAGGGTTCATTAGCTTTTAGCTTAAGTTGTCATGTTATCCAAGCACGAAGTTACCATTCCATGTAGCATGACTGTTGTACAGGTACACTTTACCTAGAAGTAGATTACTACAGAACAAGTAGCAAGGTGAGGATCCATTTGGCATGTGTTGCTGCAGAATTCTATTAAACACTCTCCTGGTGGCTAAGGTTTATGCTTAATGTATCAGTAAGATTTAAGGCTCACTAGTTTCTAAGTGTTCATAAGCCTCCAAAATGGTATAAGCTGAGTAGAGAAGTACAACAACAAAAAATATAACTTAGGTCAGGTCTGAGGATAGCACCACACTCATTGAGAAGTTTTGAAAGCTCACACTACAGAAATGGATTTACAATATCATTCATATAATCAAAGCAGTGAAACAATTCTGATGCCTTTAAGTGACTTTAGTTCAGAAAATTGAGATCTCTGAAAACTCAGTTCAAGATGTTTGCTTAAAAGGTAGAATCTTGTAACATAGCATGACTGGAAAGTTCAAATTTGCTCCAAAACCTGCAGAAAACTCCAGACTATCATTGCACAGCTAACAGCTTAAAGAACTAATTCAATCATACTACAAGTGCTGCCACAGGAGAGATAACTTTGTGGAAGAACAGGAATTCACTGTTTTAATTGCAAGTATTTTATCAAAGACAGCACAACAGACAACTAGGAAATAACATACTGGAAGTTCTGTTTCTTAGAGTTCCTATAAGTAGCGATGAAAGCCAAGTATTTATTTTAAGCCAGGCCTGTCTTAAATTTCACTGGGTGATACGAGATGCACAAATCCAGTTGGTGAGTTTATCACACAGCAAACTTCAAAACCACCTCTAGTTCATTTTAAAGACACAGTACCCGTTAAAAATGTCAAGTTTACATCACATGAAGTGTTGATCAGAGATGAATTCTTGAGTGTATATTCATTACACTAGTGCATACAAAATATTTCAAAACCTTGTCAGTCAAATGGTTCATTGAACTCCTGAGAAACTTTAGTGAGGATGTGGCAGGTGAAGAATAATTCTGATCATAAATGCTGACAGTTATTTACTGCTTGCATGACAAAAGGTGACAGCAAATGTCTGAAACAACTTCTGAACTCTCACACAAAAACCTGCTTCTTGCTTGCTGCAACTAGCAATGGCCTGGTTGTAAATCTCATTCACACTTGGATTTAAAAAAGTGGTACTTATTGAATCTTCCAATTAAAGAAACAAGAGACAAAGTCACCAATTCAAAGGCCGATCATTGGATTTCTGCATATAGACTATTTAGACAGGAAACTGGACTGGGAAGAATCTGGAAATGAAGAAAAGCCTGGACACAGGGGAGACCTATCACAAAATATACCTAGAGACTGGCCAGGCATCTTGGCCAGTAACCCTGAAAGGCTGCATGCAACATGCAAGCAGCTACATGGCATGAAACCAACACCTTCCTGCCAATCCTCCCCAGACAAGCAGTGATCGCCCCAGTAAAAAGTTAAGATAGAATGGATACAACTCAGAAATTGGGTATTGCAGCTCAGTTTTACACCTAGAAATATAAACAAATCCATACATGATACAGCCAAAGAAGGAAGTGATAATCATAACTGGTTAAAGCTGAAGACGAAATATGAACACAACCCACAAAAGGAGAACATCTGAGTAGTTAACTTTATTTAAATTAACTCATTTAAGTTTTCCATTAGGGCATCCACAAAGAAGTATGCTGTAACTTCTTGATATTCTCTGGATGCAGCTTCCAGACAGGCAACATCAGGTTCCACCTTCTGTTTGAGTCCCTTGAACTTCTTATAAATAATTCCTTTCAAGTTTCCCCGATGGTCATGTTTAAATAGGGTTCAGCTAATTCTAGTCAAAGGGAGCTCAGACTGCCTAGTCAAGTTTCACAAGCTACTATCAGTGTTTGGACTCATTTCTGTCCTTTCAAACATCTCATTGGTAGCAAGCAGGTTGATTGCTATTAGTTGAACAGACCTGACTGCATACTTGCAGCTTACGATCAAGCTACAACATCAGACCTTCTTCTAGGCTGCCACAAACCTGCTCAGTATTGGAGTAGTTGGCACAGAAGGCTTGTTAAAAGACTTCAGTTTTGTTTGTTCCTGTAAGAGTTCGAACATGAGTTCCCTGTGTTCATGTATTAACTAAGCAACTCACCTAAGACTTCTTGAAATACTGAAACAATGAAAATTCACAAGTTCCTGAGAGCCTGCTGTTCTGAAATACTGCAAAAAGAGGCAGACTGTTTTTGAAATAAGTGAACAGATGCCTGTCAGTTTTAAGAGTTTGCAAACATGTAAGCAGGACATTGTATTAATAATTGGCACATTTCAAAAATTATTTAACAATTAGTCTTATAAAAAGATTCCCTAAGTTACATTTCCATGTGCTTGCATGGACTACGATTTCCCTCAGGTAGCATTAGAAGTTGAAAAACCTGTACTTGTAAACATTTCTCTTTCAGAGTCTGTCAAAGACTATCAGAAGATATCTTTCAGTCTTCAAAATATAGCTCAGTAACTATATAGCTAAAATAACTTTACAAAGACAACAGAAATAAAAAAATATTTATGAACTGTCTTTATATAAACATATTGGCTTGTAAACAAGTTGACAACATTTACAGTAAATATTGAAAGAAAACCTCAAACTACACAATTTGCATTAAAGAGAAAAATAAGTTAAAAATTAACCACATCTTAATTATTCCATTGATTATTACTAAGTCAGGCACCTGGCAGTTTCAGAACTGAACCATATCAAAACACTGCAATACTCAATATTGTCCTTACCTAATGATTTTCTTTGATAGCACAAAAGCCACCTCATCGTTACCTGAGGACTCCCATGGTAACTCAGTGGGATAACAGTATAAAAACGACTTATTCTTCACAGACTAGGAACTCGCTGCTTCAACGGATGTTTTTGGCATACTTTAAAGACAGTCTCCTGTTACCTACAGTTTCATAAGAGAAACCCAAAAATGCCAGCAAAACTAATGTAAAAGTTAAGTCACATCCTTCTGAAAGTGTAAACCTCATCTAAATCTCATAATGTTTGCATCAGCTGCTTTACAGGATTTTAGCTAGTTTTATTTATGAGTTTGAATAAAAAAAATGTCCTACAAGTTAGGCATGAAAGAATTTAAGAAAAGTTAGCAGAAAAGCATCACGAATTATGAAATAGTTACAACAGTTGAAATTATACATCAGTTACACATACGTTTAATCATAAATCAATATTTTCTATATATTATTCAAACCCAGTTTCAATATTTGTTTGAGATAACAGTGGATACTCAGTGATATTCATTCACTTTTTACCCCTTTAAGTGAGTGCACTTATTTCCTCTATTTTTACAGGTGTAAAGATGCTTATTTGGATACTAATACCACATAAGTATGACTTGCAACATAATTTTAAATTACATTTTTCCATCTTGAAGGCAAAAGGCTATCAACGGTAATAAACAGGCAGTTCATCGTCACTCATATCTGAATCTTCTTCATCCACTTCACCTTCAATGACTGATTTCTTGCCTTTGCAGCATGAAACAATTAATCCAATTAAAAAGACCTGCAAATTTAAAATAAGAAGTGAAGGTTATTGTTATTCAATTAAGAGGCATAGAGGGCAATATACTAAAACAAAATGGCAGTGTTGTGATGCAAATGATTCAGTGACAATTGCTGTAAATTATCCAACTTGACTCAATGATCTCTATAATCAAAGTACTTACTGCAATGAATGCCCAGTTACCAAAGTAATAGGCAGCACTGAAGAACCAAAATTTATGAAGGAAGAGGTACGTTCGAGTAACAATACACTGATCTGAAAGGAAAGCAAATAGTACTGATTAACACAGAACCAATAAAAATCAGCTAATTCAAATTTATAGGATAATTCAACAGTTTTGGAAAGTATTCAGCTCTGAAGAACAATTACACTCCATTAAATCAAATTTACTCTCCTCTACCAAGAAGGTATACAAGACGGGTATTTGTTGCTATGGGAGAGTGACTACAGGGCCTTATGTGATGCAGAGAGCTTATTTGTACCCAAGATCTGATAGTGCTGATTAAATCTTACTCCATCTCTAAAACCATAAACATAGCCACATCGAAAAATACTGCTTCAGTATTCTTCTCCATTACAAAGTGGCAGATTTTAACAGAATTAAGAATCAATTTGTCAAGGCATTTTTAGGACTGCAGACAGGTAGCATAAAGGCTTGCATGGGACAATGAGCCTGTAACATTCCAGAGGTCACATCAGAGGGCAGCCAGAACAACATGCCAACCAGGTGATGGAGCTCTCCAGTGCAAGGAGGGTTGTGCTGAGTTCATGTTAAGGTATAACATGATCTCCTGGTTTGCCTCATTTACTGCGCTTCAAACCTCACCTAAAGCCCATTTCAGAGCAGAAATTGGTATTTAAACAATTTGAACACCAGAGAAAGTAAGCAACCCAGAATTTGCCTGTTCTTCCCTCAGTGCTGACCCCAGGTTTAGAAATACCAGCTAGGTGGAGTTGAAGCATAGACTTCCCACTTCCTAAAGGTGACAGTGATATGCTGCTGCTTACACAGTTTAACTTTTAGCAGCCATCTAACAAGCTGACAATTATCAGTTTCTGAAGGTAAATATTTTATTTAAAGTTTCTATTTCCACATTAGATAACAAGTTGCTTTAACAATATCACACACTATAGCTCACTATTTCCTGAGGAGAGAAGAGTTGGGAGTTAAGGATAAGTCTTTTTTGGGAAAGCCTTCTGCTTGACCTTGCCAAGACGATCCTCCCAAACCAAATCCCTGCAGTGTCTAGAATGGTTGTACCTAAACAGAGAAATAACTCCTTCAACAGTTCTCCAGTGATTTATACCTTATAAAACTAACAGAATAATTTATATACTAAGTTAAATACTATTTTATGAAGCAGTTATTTCTGGAATCTTAAATCTCAGCAGACAAAAAAACCCTGGGATTTCACAACTACTAGACACAAGGGATGCAACACACAAATACGAACATTCTGCAGATGATTAAAGTACAAAACGGCTTAATTGGAGAAAGCATGCCTCTCCACTAACACATACAAAGTGAAAGCACAAGGAAAGAATTTGGCTGAAGTAAGCCTTCCTGGTTTTCCAGACCAGATCTCAGATATGCAGAGAAAACTGCTTTCACCCCACCCCCCCTTCCTGTTAACACCAGTCAATAGTACTTAAACTACAAAAGAGGAAAAATTGTAAAGTAGCACACCACTCACAACATTCCATTATTTGCTAGCATAGCATGTCCATAGAAAAGTTTCTGACAAAGTAAGAAATGCCAGTAAAGTGAAGATGTTTCATAATCACAGATAGTATTGTCAACACCATCTGCAGCTCTCCAGCTGGTTACTTGAATTAAAAAAAAAACCAGCTAAAGACTTTCAGATGGCTCTCTACAGTAATTGGATTAAAAAGATTATGGTAAATATTTTAGAACAGTTTGACCTTGAAAAAGCAGTTCTATGGAATATGTCACAAGTTCAGCCAGCAATTTTAGTTATTCCTTCCGAACGAAGATATTATGAAATAGGCTGACATGTCATAACATGACATTTTTATCCACTTATTTCCCCTTATAACAATTTAGAATAAGTTCTGATGAATAACCTGAATTAAGGTAACTACTTTTTATCTGGAATGATAATTGTGAATGTCACTGACATATCTTGATCATTTGGAACAAAAGTACACATGGAAAGCCATCAAGCCTCCGACAATTAACTGCCACCACTTTAGGAATACAGCATATCACAAATGCTGATGAAGCAAAGCCAAACAGGCATGATTCAAGACAAAACAATTACTTAAACAAAGGACGACAAATACTAATAGCCATGACTACCTAAAAAGTCAACTATATTTTACTTCAAGTCCACTGATGAAGTTTTTAATTCCAGTGAATTAGAAAACCCTTAGGCTCAATGTAGTGATATTTCCAAACAAAGGCTTCTTCTGAGAAGTGAGTTAGCTAGTTGCAAGATGAATTAAAAGGATAAACAAATCTGTTGATAAACAAATCTTAAAGTCCAAAAAGTCATCTCATGCACTGAAAACTCAAATTTTGAGAACTTGTTTACAGATGTTCTGGTTTTAGCTGGGACAGAGTTAGCTCTTCTTTTTAGCAGCTAGAAGAGCTCCGTGTTTTGGTTTTACTCAGAGGCTCGCTCTGAGAAGAATGTTGATAGCAAGCTGATGTTTGTGGTTGGATGTGAGACTCCAAGGACTTCTCAGTGTGCCGGAGTGCAGAAGCACGGCGAGATAAGCGGGGAGCATAGCTGGGACAAGGGGACACGATTCCCCTTGTGATTTGTGGTGGAACTTAAGATTGAGGGCCAGACTGGCCAATTAGTATTCCATATCATGCAGCATCATGCCCAGTATAGAAGTGAGGGACAGCCGGACAGAAGGGCTTTTGTGCTTTGGCTCTTTCGCCGCTTCTGCTCTTTTGCGCTTGCTGCGCTTTTGCTCTATTGCCTTTTTTTCTCCCCCTCTCTCTCCCAGTACTCCCACTCTCGGAGTACTATCTCTCTCTGCCCCTCTCTATTTCGGGGCCTCACGTTCGTCTGGGATTGCAGCTTCGGGACAAGACGGGCTTCGCATACAAGGGGGTGGTGAGCATCTACACTGTGTATTAAATCATCTGTATTAAATTGTTCTTATCTCAACCCACGGGTTTCCCATTTCTCCTTTAATTCTCTCCCTCATTCCTGAGGGTGGGGGAGGGTGAGTGACCAGCTGTGTGGGTTCAGTTGCTGGAGCAGCCTAACCCACGACAACAGATAATGCAGATTGTCTTTTCTGCATCTCAAAATACTGTGAGCTTTCACAAAAGCATGTAGAAGGAAACAGTTTCTTATGGAAGAGTTACAGATAGTTATGAAAAAGGTAATGTTAAAATGCTGGCATTCTTTGGGAGTCAATACTGAGGTGCACACTTGTTTTACTTCTTCGTTAACCAGCTGGACAAAGAAACAGCTTACATTCTCTGTAAATCTGTAGATCAAACTAGGGAGAAGCAGGGAGCAGCGGCCTAACATGCTAGATGGTAAGATCAGAGGGAACCTGTTTTTCCAGCCCCTTGAAATCAAGGAAGTGATCACTTCCTTCTACTCCCTCTGGAGCTGCATCTGCAACAGTGCCATTTTGGGCTCCCCAGTAAGAAAGAAGCATTGACACACTGGAGCAAGTCCAGTAGGGGACCGTCACAACAGCTAGAACATATAGCCTACAATGAAGATGTGTTTGCTCAGCTCAGAAGTAAAGGTGTTTGGAGGTGTGTCTCATTGCTCCCTCTGCTATCTAGTGGGGGCCTATAAAATACAAGGTGATATTCTTCCTAGACCTGCACAATCTGTACAACAGATGACAGAGCTGCAGCAAGAAATATTCCTATGAATTAACAGAAGTTTCACCATTAGTATAGTTACACATTGAAGCAGGCTACCCAAAGAGACTTCAGAATCTACATCTGTGGAGACATTTACAACTGGATGGACCTGAGCAACCTGCTCTCCTTGACCTTGTTAGGGAGTTGGACCAGACTACCTCTTGAGGTCCCATATGTGCTGAAAATCATTACAATTCACATTACATGAAGGTAGATATAGAGACACCACAGACAGATCTTACACTCAACACGGTATTTTGGACAGCAAACCCAAACTGAGAATAAGAATGTCATCCACAGACAGATGAAGTTTATATGCCAAATTTTAAGCAGAACCTAGTTTTGCTTAAAGTACACTCAAAACTACTTCCAAGGGAAAACACCTTCAGCTTTACTGTGCTAGAACGTATAAGCATTGCATATTCCAAATCCCAAAAGCATTGAAGGCATGGCTTTAGGTATCCAAGAAAACTTGGTGTTTCATATGGCTCTGCTGCTAATCATTCAAAAGTTGTGTTGCAAAAAGCAGCTGCTGCTTGCAGTCTAACTTGCAACTTGAGCTTCAAGAAAAGGGTTTGATGTGTTTCTAAACTTCAATCATACATCAAGTTCCAAAAAGTTTGAGATTTCACTTGGGAAAGTGTAATTAAGGGGAAACCTGCATTTCTTCCTCACAAGCATTACTTCTGGACCTGCATCTGGCCTCACAGTTTAAACCATCTAACTTGGATAGGAACATTTATATGAGATGATGGTTAATGTACGTCAGATGCTGTCACACTTCAACAGCTGTGACACCTTAAGCATTTTTTAGGGTTTTGTTGATTTCCAGATCAAACTTCTCACTGTGCTACTGAGCTATGACAACACATCTATTTTACCATGTACTGCCATTCCTGTGTGCTTTGCTTGGTTTACATGACTTAAGACAAGCAGCATCTTATATCACAGAACAAAAAACATTCCTAGAGGCCAAGTCAGTTCTAACATTACAATAAAAACAATTTAGAGGCAGTTGTTTTAAAGATGTCCATATTTTCTTACTATGGCTTTCCTGTGACAAAGCTAAAACACATTTTGACAGATAGAGTAAACATCTAGAGTAAGAACAGTTGGCTTTGGATACTGTAACTTGTGGAACACAGCTGGACAGACTACTCCTAAACACCTTCTTAGATGTTATCTGGCACCTACAAGTAGTATTAATATTCATGTTTTTCTCTGCCACAGTGTATCAGTATTTTAAACAAAGTGAGAAAAACACTAAGATTCCTATGAACTGAGTAGGTACAGAGCAAAGATTTCAGGCTTGAAAACAGCCTCAGAGAAACCTGCCTTTACTTACCAGAAACTAACCAACAGCCGAAGATGAAGCAGCCTTTAAATTATT